TGCGGATTTTCAGAGAGTGCAGTCTTGATAAGGTCCACATCCGTCGTTACTGGGCGCCCTCTGCGATCTTCATCTTGCAAATCAAAATTCTCTAATTCTAAACGACTCCTCGTCGGTTCTCCAGTTCTGACCGTTTCCCTCTTTCGTAGTTGATCGAGTTGATTACAATATTTCTCAGCATTCATCGGTTCACCTCGAAGAAGGAGCTCGTAGTGCACTACATCTCTCCAGTCCGACCAAATGGATAAAAGAACTCTCTTCAGATGAATCCAGGCTTCGCAACAGTTGAAGATCTATTTTCCTTGGACGAAGTGCGTTTTCCTGACTCGTTTTGATGCCAAATCCAAGTTTCGTCTCCAGTGAGAAGTCTCTTTAGAAGAGTTGTTGAAGAAGCAAGTCGCACGCAGAGACGGGGTTCATATAGCCGGTCACAGTCCTTAGATGTGGAATCCAAACTTCGTACCGATTTGCCTATTCCATCTTGATTAAATGCTTATGCACCGTTGTCTTGAGAATGTTAGTTTCATCCGCTGTCCCACGTACACTATATTGCGAATTTTCAGCGAGTACAGTCTTGATAAGGTCCACATCCGTCGTTACTGGGCGCCCTCTGCGATCTTCATCTTGCAAATCAAAATTCCCGGCTCTAAACTTCTTTAACAAATTACGAACGGTCCTCCTAATGGTCGTAGTAACACTCCCGTAAACGGTGCGAATCTCGTCTGCAGTGTCCTTTTCACTATTGCCTTTTTTAAATCCGTGATGTATAACATGTCGCAAATTCTTCTTTTGGCTCTTCATATTCCAACGGGGTAGAAACAAATTTAAAAGTCTTTTTCACCAACCAAACTTATTTTGAAGAAGCTCCGAGACGATTGAAACCCATGTCATAAACGGCCAAGAGATAAGCGCCTGCAATTTAAATAAATACAACCATTCAAACTCATTTTTTCCTTTTCTTTTTTCAGAATAAGACCAGAAGACGTTGGATTCGATATGAACGGAAGTTCGGATTCCAACCGAACGGCTTCAAAAACTACATCGAACCAATCTGACTCCGATGGAGATCCTCTGGTTAGTATTATTATTCGAAATAAATTCAAATATCTTTACTATATAATTAATTCTTGCTCTTCGCTCCATTAAGCTAAATCGTATTAATAATAATATTAATAATAATTATTTTCTTCAGTTGAACATGCTCATGAGACTCCAAGAAGCGGCTAATTACACGAGAGGACCAATAAACGGCAATGAAAAAATCGAAAACAGACAAGGAAAACCCGAATCCATTCCGGAAATTATGGAAAATTCGAAAACGTCGGAATCCTGTTTT